GTGGAACCAGATCAAGTTCATCCACAGACTTGTGTGAAATCAGAGAAGTGAGAGAGAGGAGCCTGCACCCTTAGGCACATCTTTACCAGGCCATAACCGTCTTCCTGTAACTTACTGCCCCTGACCAAGCCAACTCTGGGTAGGCTCAGAGTGTAGCCACCGAGAGCTGTGTCTGTTACATATCCCAGGCACTTGGGGTCAATTTCTGGTTGTAAGAATACTCTGAAGTTCTTTTCAGAGAGGAGAACTCGGAGGCTCTGAGAGAGGAAGTGACTGAGGTCACCCAGGAGTCAGTTGGCAGAACCAGAAATAGACTCCTGGTCTACTCTCAGTTCAGACAAGGCAGCATGTTCTGCTTTGATGATGTGTGTGTGTGAGAGAGAGAGAGAGAGAAAAAGACAGAGAGAGGGAGGGAGGGAGAGGGCAGTTCAACAGACACCATATTTACTGACCCAGGAGGATGCGGGAGAATTATTTTCCTGTGAGCGCGTCTTCCTTCTGCCTCCTAACTGTCTGGATGACTTGGAACATCCCAGACTGGAGAGGGCCACAGCCGCCCTGTCCACAGCTGCTGCCCCGTCTTATGATTTCCGCTGCACTTGACTCTGCCTGCTGTTTCTCCTTGCCCTGTGTGCTCACATGGGAGACATCTTTCTGTCAGGAGCTGTTTGGGCGAACCTCCTCCACTGAGGGCGGCAGCAGGCACAGACACCTTGACAAAGGCCAGCTCTGACACAGCTTCCAGACCTCCTCTGGAAACCACAGATGTGAGAAGACGCACTGTACCTTGGACCTGCTTCTCACTCTGCTCTGAAGTCCCCAAGACTGAGACCTCAAGGGAAAGAGAAAGGGTGGAGTCTCTGCCCCCAGATCCTTTGGGAAAAGAGAATTAACTGTTTCTTTCTTTCTAACTTTTCTTTCTTTCTTTCTTTTCTTTCTTTCTAACTTTTCTTTCTAACTTTTCTTTCTTTCTTTCTTTCTTTCTTTCTTTCTTCCTTCCTTCCTTCCTTCCTTCCTTCCTTCCTTGTTAGTATGTAAAACTTTTCCCCCCTCGTGGGGCACTGGAGCCCCACACATGATCCCCTAAAGGACCCCAAGAACTCCTTGTGGTAGGAGAGAAATGAGTGCAAGCTGAACTCATTCTTTCTGGTGGCCCCTCTTTCCCAGAAATAAAGGGTTATAGAGAAAACACAAATGGAATCTAAATCTGGTAAGATTTTGCAGAACCTGATGGTTTCGCTGGGTCAGGAACAGGGTAAAAATAGTCTCTCGGGATAAATCCTGGCCAGGAAAACCGAGACAAGTGAAGGTTGGGAAAACGCATTGTGAATTTCACTTTTTCCAACTGCCTACTTCATTTTCCTCTTTCTGTCTGAATCACTTGTTTCCACCATGGCCCCGTGGGTAGGCCCACTGGAGCACTGGGATCTAAGAAACCAAGAATGAGGACTTCTCAAAGGTCTGATTATAAATCGGTGTAGCAAAAATAGATCCTAGCAGTAGGCAGTATGCCCACACAACTGGCCAGACAAATTCCTGTGATTCAGGAACCCACTCTCAACTCAAACAAGGTCACGAAGCCCACAGTGCGCAGAGGAGAAGTCCTAGGAAGAGGAAGAGCTGAAGGTTACTCACAGGGCTCCCACTACTCAGACAAGCAAATCACTCCTTGTTTCTCAAAATCACCACACAGAGACCTTTCCCCGAGAATTGTTGTGAACACTTATGCTAATTTCCCTGCAGGCAGTCCTGCCCTATTCCCATCCAGACCCTCATTTTTTCTCCAAATGATCCTTTTAAATTTTAGGATTACAGAGACAAACAGGGGCATGGAAGGATAACATTTGTTGGTCACTAGGGTTATAATAGTCCCCTTCTAAAAGGAAATTCAGACACAGTGGTCAACGATCCTGAAAGTTAAGAATGATCTGTTTGTATAATTAGTGTTCTTTGGGTTGCAACCAAAATATTCAAGCTCCTTTACATCAAAAGCTGAGCCTGGTCTTGTTTTCTTTCATTGATTCTTTTTTAATCAGGAGTGAGATGGGTTCCATGATAACTGAGAGCAAGGCGACACCTTTCCAGACATTAGATTTACACATGAGGAAGTGTACTCAGCCATCTCCATGTGGAAACACTCTTTTTCTCCTCCCAGTACCCATCTTATTCCATAGCTCTGCAGAAGCCTTTTCCTGCTGCAGTAGGTATGTGATTAAGGTTGACTGCCCTGCCATATTTCCTAAATTGTCTCGAGTATCACCTGTTCCATTAGGTACCAATCCCAAATTCTTGTGAATGAAAATACAAGGCCAGATCAAAGACTATGGTGTGTGTTTAAATTTTAAAAAATCATTACAGTGCAAGATACATGGCCATTAATCTTCCTCAGAATTTTCCCTCACGCTTTGAATACACTTACTGGATTTCTCCTGCCACTTTCTGCAGCTGTTCTGGAAGTCCTCTTTCTTGAGTGTCTTTATGAGGTGTGGTCAAGAAGGGGGTGAATGCTGCTGCTTGATACGGTCCAGTGCAAAGATAGGCTGGTGACAAGATGTTGTGTCCTCACACACCTTATTTGCCAGGTCTGGCACTGTGTAACTTCTGCCTCTTCCTCAAAGTCAAAATGACCATGAAAGGAAATCTTTTGAATCAGTTTAAGACACAGAGCCAACCACGACAGTCTAAACCAAAGACTCTGGCACAGGGAGTGTTCTAAGACTGGTTCAGAAGGCAGCTGGAATGATAGGATTCATGTGTTTGAAGTAAGCTGGCATATGCTGAGAGGGATTCATGGCAATGTATCTTTTACTGTAATAATTTTTAAATATTTAAACATTCATTGTATTGTTTATCACAATACATATAACCATCCTATTTTGCATTAGAAGACTGTTCTTGGTCTGATGGGGAGGATGATTAAAATAAAGATACCTGCCCTCAGGGGCTGGGGATTTAGCTCAGCAGCATAAGCACCTGCCTGGCAAGCACAAGGTTGTGAGTTTGATCCCTGGTATCAAAAAAAAAAAAAAAGAAAGAAAGAAAAAAAAGATACCTGCCCTGCCTCTAGTGGACCCTACACCTGTCTATGGTAGAGAATACCTGGTATCTTTCATGGACTTGAATTAATTAAAAAAGCTTTGTCTTCCCATAGGGTAAGAAATGACAACTCTGAAGATGAGGTCATTGGAATACCCACATCCTTCCCCAGAATTTCCACCTTTCATGTTAGGTTATGCCCTAATATGCCCTTGTACATAAGGAAGCTTTGAATGGGCCTGAGGCTTTTCAAGGTGTGTTGATAGCAGCCCATGTTTACCAGGTTGTGGGTTAGGTCACCAGTGAATCCACTCACTGTCACATGGTCCTCTGCGTAAGATTCTTCTCAATACTAACCTGTGCCCAGAATTTTGTACATTCAGCCATAACAAACAACCTCTGTCACCCCTGGGAAGAACTCTCAAAGGCTGAGTATGCAATAGAGAATGCTTTGCTGTGTGGTGATGTCCAGATTTTCATGATCCCTTCATCACCAAATGGGTTATGAAGCAGCCCCTGCCTTCCTTGAGGCCTTCAAGATGTTCATCGCCTCTGCTGTTGTCACTGAGTGATCTGATTTCATGTCTGTCCTTAAGTGAAGGCAGCCTAGTTTAGCATTCCCTAGGCTCAGGACCTGGCAGGGAGTGGTGGACCATTGATAGCGTGTGGGTGAACAAATGATAGGTGGATATTTAAGGATGAAGGTTGAAAAGAAAGGAAGGAAAGCACTGGAAGGGAAGAAAAGATTGAAGAGGGAGAAGAAGGAAGGGAAAGGAAGGAGACAGAGAGAAAGTCAAGGTTCAGTGCAACCCTGGCTCTCCCAGTAAGCTGGGTGGCTGTGTCTGGGATGAAGCTGGGTGTGTGTAATCTCCTGGACCAGGTAAAAATGTATATAAAAAGCTGCTAGCCAGCTATTACCAGCTACCAGGGTCCCAAGACACAAGGCTGAAAGCTCGAAGTGTCATGGTAGCTTGGAAAGTCCCTGTCTTCTTTTGGGGGCCCTATTCTTCATGCAGATATGACCTCCGCCTCTGGCACCCTCCCCAATCCCCTAGGGAAGACAAACTGTGGACTTTTGCTGAGTGGACAGATCACATAGCAATGTGAACACATTTCCTCCACACTGGATGGGGGTTCCCAGCCTTGGTGCAGGGAGCAGAGTGCAGTTGCGACTCCAAACCTGGCTGACACCCTCATAAGGGCTGTACACCTCTCCTCATCCCCAATGGCTCCCACACAAAGCCTCAGACACAGAAAGCGGCAGTTTCAGGGGTTCACGGCCCCGGAGTCCCTTATCTGGGTTCATGAGAACTAGTATACTTTTCCTCAGTTTTAAATTTCGCATCTCTAATGAAGGTCACATCCTACTTACAAATTTCAGGCAGCAATAACCAGAGAAGGAAGCAGATATTTCTCTGGTCAGATTCAGACTTCCCTATGCACACATGGAGCCCTACTTAGACTTCTGGGAACTGGGAAGAAGTTGGACAAAGTAATGTGAGTGTCTTCCTGTCTTCTGGACTCACACACATGCACACATAGGCACATGTGCACACACACACACACAGACACACACACACACACACCTGCACACCTGGCAGGAAGTGCAGGAACGCCCATACCCAGAAGCAGGAATATCCAGGCCCGGAAGCAGGAAGTGCAGGAACATTCATACCTGGAGGCAGGAAGTGCAGGAACACTCATACCCAGAAGCAGGAAGTGCAGGAACATTCATACCTGGAGGCAGGAAGTGCAGGAACACTCATACCCAGAAGCAGGAAGTGCAGGAACATTCATACCTGGAGGCAGGAAGTGCAGGAACACTCATACCCAGAAGCAGGAAGTGCAGGAACATTCATACCTGGAGGCAGGAAGTGCAGGAACACTCATACCCAGAAGCAGGAAGTGCAGGAACATTCATACCTGGAGGCAGGAAGTGCAGGAACACTCATACCCAGAAGCAGGAAGTGCAGGAACATTCATACCTGGAGGCAGGAAGTGCAGGAACATCCTCACCCAAAAAGCAGCCTTCTGCTCTGGGCTAAGCAAGTCCATGGTCCCCAGCCATGCATGCTGCACGCTCTCCCTCAGTGGTTACCGGCCATGAAGGCCCCCAAGCAGCTCACTAGCTTCCTTCCTTCCCTTCTGCCCCCCAGCTCCACACTGGTGCTTCCTAGCTTCCTTCTCAAGAGAGGGAAATGCCAAAGGGCTTCCAGAACCGTCCACAGAGGTGGGATTTAATGACTGCTCAATGTCTGGCTCCTGGGAGAGAGGAGCAGGACCCTGGTCAGGATGCAGCTACTTCTGGGGTCCTTTGGGGAAGAAAGGGTGCAGCAAGATCTTCTCAGTGTGCCCGGTGCCGCCTGCTGGGAAAGAAGGTGAGGGCCCTTCTGTCTGCATGCAGCACCCTTTCGTGAGTGCTCTGCCATGCTGTCAGCTGGTGTTTGCTACCTCACTCAGTGCTGTTGTGTCTGTTATGTGACATAGCTGTGATCTTCACAAGTCCAGTCTGACGCACTCCTTTGCTAGTGCGGAGACTACTCCCCAGTGCATTAGGAAAGGCGAACTCTACCCTTCAGTGTTCTCCAGGGGCTTGCAGCAAGGGGAGAGAGTAGAAACAAGACCAAGTTCCCACATGCAGAACCTCAGGGCATTCATTGACTAGGTTTCCCTTTAAGCTTTTCACAGTGGTTCTCCAGGAATGGACTCCAGCAGCACCGAGGACCCAGCTAGGTGTACAGTGTGGCCGTCCCCTAAGCCTCCTGCAGCAGAAACAGGGTAGGAACCAGCCATTTGTTTCCATCGGCCCCTAGAGTTGGGGGACACACTCTCAGATGAGAGGAAGACTCTGAGGGTACGGCATGCAGGGCGGGGCACTGTCCCTGTAGGTGTAATTTTCTAGCTAGGGGGACTTGTGAGGGTGTTGCAAGGCTGGTTACCCTGTGTGTTCAGCAACCCACACTGAGCAAGTTCTTCTCCAGCTCTGTTATCATCCAACAGACGCTGGGGTCTGTGGTCTGAATCCTTGTTAAGAATGTATGAGAGAAAAGAACAGAAAGAAAGAAGGAGGAGGGGGTGAAAGGGAGGGAAGAGGCGGAAGGGAGAGAAAGGGAAAAATTGGAAGGAGCAGTATTTGTCCCCAGGTCACACAGTGTGAGCAGAGAAGTAAGTGGCACATCTCTCTGCCCTCTCTCTCGTCTGACAGGGCACCCTTCCAGCGCCTCCCCCCAGCAGCAGTAACCCACTGCCCCTGAGGGGGTTCAGGGCAGCCCTCAGCCCCCAAAGAGATTCTCATGCCCGCTTTTGTTATGTGTTTCTGCTTAGCTCCCACAACTTCCCCAAATTTAATTTGAGGGCGGGAGCCAACTTAGTATTAATCTGCCATTTTGCAACCAACCTTGCGAATTCAAAGCTCCTGAGACCTGATTTTCTACAATAATTTACCTTTGGCCTTCTAGAACAGACCTACAACTTCCGCGCTTTTCCTTTGTTTTTTAATTGCTGTTATTTTTTTAGCAATTTTAGATCCGAAGCAAAATGGAGAAGAAGATACAGAGATTTCCCTTATCGCCCACCCATGCATAGCTTCCTCCTCCACAATTAACAACCCACAGCAAATGGCACACGTGTCACCACGAGTGGCCCTACACTGACTCATCAGTGTGACCCAAAGACCTGGTTTACAGCTGAGTTCAGGCCAGTAGGGTACCACTATGGGCTTATGTGTATAACAATGGAGGGGGCCACCACGGCCAGATCATGCGGGTAATTTCGTCATATTAAAACCCTCTGTGCTCTGCCTGTTCATCCTTACCTCTCCCCAGCACCTGTCAGCCTCTGATCTTTTCACTTTCTCCATAAGTTGCCTTTCCTAGAATTCATATAAGTGGTTCAATCCCGCAGTACGTACCTTTCCTTCCTATAGTAATGTATACTCGAGTTTCCTTCAGGTCTTTGTGTGGCTTTAAACCATGGAGTAATGTTCCATTGTCAGGTGTTTCTTTTTCCACATTCCTGCTGAAAGCACCCTAATGGTTTCCAAGTTTGGGCAATTATGGATAAAGCTGCCATCCACATCGGTGGGCAGGTTTTGGTGTGGACATGAATTTTGCCTTGTTTTGGTTAACACTAAGCTGGCTGGCCCTCTTTGTGAGGAAGACACAGAACAGGAAGACTGAAGAGGTAGAAAATAAATTAGTGAACTGCAAGGGCTGTGGTCAGGGGTGAATGGAGTGGCTCCTTGGTGGGCATTGGCTTTTAAATGGGCTGGCACACACTTAGCAGTGGTGGTGGCAGCTGCGTGACATGGCATGTGTGCCCGGCTCCCGAGTGGCACCCTTGGAATGAGTGTGGTAGGCGATTCCCTCTATCATCTACCTATCACCTATCTATGTACATCTAGCTGTATTTGTTCACAAAATACATTTTGTGAATATGTTTTTGTATGTATATATTCACAAAATGACAATAAATATTTTTTAAAATATGATTTAAATTTTTATGAGATCAATTTTATTTCCTAATCTAATACTTCCATCATCTAAAAAGAACCTCTGTGTGTGTGTCTCTCTCTCTCTGTGTCTGTCTCTGTCTGTCTCTTCTCTCTCTCTCTCTCTCTCTCTCTCTCTCTCTCTCTCTCTCTCTCTCTCGTTGTATGAGTGTGTGCGTGTGTGTATGTGTTTCCTGAAAAATGAATCCAGGGGCTTCACACTCAGCTACATGGCCAGCCTCATTTTATTTCTTATTTTGAGACAAGGTCTCAATAAGTCACGAAGTTACCAAGCCAGGTGGAACTGACCCTCCTGCCTCAGCTTCCCAGAGTGTTTGAAATTACAGGTGTGGGCTTCCACATTCCTCTGGTGTTTTAAGCTTTCTTTGTGGTCAGGGGAGGGAGTGTTTCTCACTTCCATATGTTCTTTAAGAGTTTAATTTTGGCACATCGGTTGGAAGATGTACTGCTTTTTCATTTCTTTCCACTTAATTTGGCCTTCATGTATATTAATGCTTATAATTCAATGTATGTGACAGTCTCATCATAAATGCGCTTAAAGACATATTTATGTGTCTTTCTAAACTTCATGTATGTCTGAGTTGTCTTGATTATTTTCCAATAAACCTTTTTGGTGTATGTCTTTTCTTTTGAGTAACTACATCAAAGATAATGATACACATGCAATAGCTAGTGTTATTTTCTTATTATTATGCAATTTTGTTTTGTTTTTTCATGAAATAAAATTTTTTGAAAATCTGCACTTTTAGATTCATTTATCTTTCTGATTTAAATGAATTTTGAAATAATTTTGTTATATACTTACTTTCTCTTTCAAAAATGAATCAATTTTCATATGACAGTTTTTTTCCATAAGTTCAACCCAATTTGGGTTCTTCATGAAAGTTTTTATTGTAATTCTTTGAGATAAAGCACATAAGTCTCTTGAATACATATTGTAAATGTAGACAGCTTTATTGATAATGTTACTACTGTGATGGCTAACTTAAGGTCTGATCACACCGCAGCACAAGTATGTCTGCCGGAGCGTTTCAGGAAGAGATCAGGGAAAGGAGGTCATACTCCTGAAAGTGGGTGGGCTTCACACCATCTGTTGAGGACCTGGAGCAAGAACGGGGGACAGAAGGACGGACCTGTGGGTACACTCACTCCTTTGTCTCCTTCTTCTGGACGCCAACACTCTGCACTGTGTCACGGAGATTCCCAGGTGTCCAGGCTGTGAATAGCAGACCCTGGGGCCTGTCAGTCTCTATTCCCCTGAGCCAGCTGATTGCCTTACAATAGATTTCTATCTAACAGGTATCTCTTGGTTCTGTTTCTCTAGAGAGTGCAAACTATTACAATTACACAAAATAGTAATGTGATAGAGTCAATAAATAGAGAACATTGTCAAGAAGGTCTAAGCACTCAAGCACTTCTCACCCATAGGTTATGTTAGTCGGCCGTTTAGTGACCCGCCTCTGGCTGTGCACACAAACATCTCTAGAATGCTTAAACACATCCCACAGTGTGTACTTTTCAGCTATGCACATGGTATCTTTCCATCTTGGCAATAGACATGTGTCTGTACTTCGACAGCCCCAAAACACTCATTTGCGTTAATATATCAAATTCTATCTTATCTGTGGTGAGCATTTAGGGTTTTTTTTTTTCCAATTGCTTTCTAAAAACCTCATTCTAATGAAGAACGTTAAACACATACATACAGATTTCCTTGCATCAGGAGTCATCTCTGCACACTTTCCTCGAAATCATGAGCAGAAGGTTGCACTTTCTACAGTTCAATTCAATCTGGGCCGTGCTGACTTCCCAGGCCAGGTCTCCCTTGAGTTCCAGGTTCCACGGCCTCTGAGAGTTAATAATCGTATCTTGTGATTTATTGTAATGACCAGCTTTTATTTTTTAGTAAACTTAGATTTTTTTTTGCATGTGGTGATCTTGTATATTTCTTTTGTAAGTTGTACAGTTGAGTCCTTTGCCAATTTTTGCTATTTTTTCACTAATTTGTAAGAGCTCTTCACATATTAAAAATCTAATCATTCATTCCTATTTGTTGCAAATATTATCTGAAGATATCATTTTATTTAAATAATTGTCTTCCTTTTAAAAGCACTTTCTAAATGACACAAAAATAAAGATAACTATGTAGGCCCCTCATACAGATATTTCCTGTCTTCAATAGTTATCAGACACCTTTTGAATGTATTACTATTGTATAAAGCAAAGTGCCTTTCCTGAGAAGTCCTGGTGTATGCATGTTTCATTAACACAGACATTTTCACACACAATAATGCACAATTTCCCCAACTTAGCTACTTTGATGCTAAGAAAATTATATGTTGAGACCCTTTTGGATGCTACCGTCCCATTTCAGAATCACTCAACACCACCCATGGTCTCTTTCCTGGCTCTCTTCCTGGAGAATTTAATCCAAAACAACTCCACTCATTTATTTTTTCAAAGGTTCTTGAACAAATTTCTATGACATTTATGGTTCTCCTTCTTCACAGGTTTTCTTCCCTCACTCAGCAGGTTTCCCCAAATTCTTCACATCTGGGTTTTGGACATCGGAGGCTAACAGGCTTCAGACCTGAAGTCAGCTGTATGCTTTCCCACCACCTATCTCCAGTGAAACTGGTGGTGCCTGCTGAGATCTCAAGCTCATCCTGCTCATTTTCCATGGTGCAGGCATTTACATAGGCATCTGGGGAAGTTACGGGTTTTCCCCAAAGTATTTCCCATTTACCAGAACGGCCCAGCTCATAGCAGTGCTCAGGATTTCCCCCAGATCGATACACTTATTTTAGCCCCATCAGCTCATCTTCATTAAATGTCCCTGTGCTGTGCCGCAGCAGCCTTCCCAGAATGCCTGTCTGCACCAGGTGCTTGTCCTTTTACTCAGGAGGACTTTCCCAGGAAAACTATGCTGCTAACCAGACATGTAAAACTTCTCTGTGATGATGCTGCACAGACAGAGGCCAACCGGACCTGGTGTCCCATTGATGCTACAGGTTAGGAGAACTGGGGACTCTTTGCACTGCTCATGCAGCCCTGAAGTCACCCCAGGCAGGCCCAGCAACAGGGTTTGGCCCCTGTGGGCTGGGAAGTGACAGAATTACTGGCTGTGGCTGTGCGTGTTTGAGGGTAATGAGTCTCGGCTCATTCAGGCGTAGTTTGCCTTCAGAGCCTGACCCCCACTGGGGCAGGTGGAGTGGAGAAGCACAGAAATAGGGCTCCCCAGTGACATGCCGGTGAGCGCTAGCAAAGCACCCCCTCAAGCACTGCATTCAGTTCTCCGCCAGCCTTGCCAAGGCTGAGCTGAGCTGTGCAATCCCAGGAAGGCAGTCACAGGACCATTTTGGCAACCACTGCCATCCTATGAATGGGGACACCGAAGCCAAAGGAGGTGACCCGAGTGGTCTTCTTGAGCCTATTGGAAGAAGCACAGCCCAGGACAGTCTTCTGGCTTCCATCCAGCACACCATGGGACAGCGCTACTGCTGGGGGCGCTCTCCACCTGTGGAGGCCTCTGCCTTCACGCACAAGGCCAGCGTGGGCGCCCCAAAGCATCTCATGCTGTGCCAGACCCTAAAAATCAACTCAGGAGGGTGGACACTGATTCCAGAGAACTTCAGATGGACTTCCTGAACCAGAATTCACAGCAGTGGCAATTCTGAGTTGCTCACCACAGACATCGAGAAGATAGGGGCGCACATGGCCCCAGCGAACGAGCCAACCCCTCCTTGAACAAAGACAGTGGTGAAATGGGGCGAAGATGAAAAGGGACTTCCCAGGAGAACAGAACCTAAATTCCGGTGTCCTCAGGAGGCCCTGTACCCAGTGGTGGTTCCATCCCACCTACAGCCTGACTGTGCCCTTCCAATAGTTGGTCTTTTGTCTGTGAGGGTTGGGTTTTTAAGGGAAGAAATAAATAGTAAGTGGTTCTCCAGGCTTTCTCCAGCTTTGTCTCCTATTTGACAATCTTACACTCCCCAACTTGACAGTCTGCTTTCACTAATCCATATGCATAGAAGGTGTATATTACCCCCAAGTCTACGTGATCCTCACTTAGCCAACGACATCTGTCTTTGAACTGTCACCAAATGCTAGAAGGATTCTTTTTCTTTTGTGGTGTCAATTCCTCTTTCTGTCATTATTAACCTTGTTAAATACCCTCTTCCCTCCCCTTCTGAAAGGCATGAACTGAGCGCAGAGTTTCAAACACACCCCCTTCACACAGCCAGAGGGGGGCAGGGAGCCCAGCTAGCTCCCTGTTCATCAAACATCTACTTTCACTCCATCCACGGGGAGTAGGCCCTTTTGTACATTTAACAGATTCAAGCAATTTAGCAACTGGGGTGGAGTCTATGTAAAGCACTTCAACAACATGGGAAATGAAGACACTGGTCTTCTGTCTGAGAACTGGTTAATGGAAGACGTGAAGCCTCCCAACGCACACAACAGCGCTGCCTAATGCACTGCTGGGAATCCTCAAGAAGTTTCCCACCGCGGGGGGAGGCGGGCTGACAGATTTCGCCTTTGCTGTCAGTTCCACTGTGGGAGGCTCCTAAATTTATTATACCTGGGAAATCGTTCTCCTGCAAAGCTATCCCAAATGGAGCAAAGAAGCGAGGCAGGAGGTAGGGCCTTCTGCGGGTGCCACTGGCTCCTGCTAGAAAGGGGGCAGAGGCCATGGTGAGTCAGAGCCATGGTGGAGTGCATGAAGCCCTTGCCTACCTTGACCAAGGAGAAGCAGGGCACCGAATTGATCTTATCTGCCTCCCTACGTCAACCAGCTTAACTAAAAGATAATATTGTTCAGACAATAAAGTAGAATCTTCCCAGAGGATCCCCAGGGGGCATTTTCCACCAGCACGGGTATCTGGACTTGATACCGTTTCTGCCCAGTAAGCAAAACACCCAACATCATCTGAGAAGATCACTTATCACCATGAGTCTGGGATCATCCGGAAGCAGCTATATTGCCTTTTTCTAAGACAAAAAAAATGTCCTCACTTTGGGAGGCTTCTTTGCCTCAGTTTCCTCATCAACGAAGTCAGAATCACATGGCTCAGCTTTCTGGTGAAGAGACAATGCAAGAGTGTGTTTTGCTGATTCGCTCAAAAGCCCTGCAAACATAAATCATCCTTCGAGTGCTGTATGTGCTGCCACACCGCTGCCTGGAGCGCAGGAGCTTTCAGAGAAGTCAACGGGAGCTCCAGAAGTGAGAAGAAATATGCACGGGAGAGATGGGCCAGCACGCTGCTGCATGGTGGAGATTAAACACCTGGAGAGGAGAGTTCCGGCTAAGTGTATGATTATCGACCGCTGCAGTTGGATTCGCTGTGAGAACTCAGATCCATCAGGTCGTCCACTCAAACGACATCCATCATTTGGTACATCCTCTATGTCTTGCGGGCTTAATGGCATTGAAACCCAAAGA